TATCTATCTATCTATTTATCTATCTATCTATCTATCTATCTATCATCTATCATCTATCTATCTATCTATCTATCATCTATCACCTCTCTGTCTGTCTATCATTTCTCTCTCTATCATCTATCTATCTATCTATCTATCTATCTATCTATCTATCATCCTCTATCATCTCTCTATCATCTATCTATCTATCTATTTATCTATCTATCTATCTATCTATCTATCTATGTATCTATCCTCTCTGTCTGTCTACCTATCATCTATCTCTCTCTCTCTATCTATCTATCCATCTATCATCTATCTATATGCTTGTAAATCACACAATCACACACACAATTTTGGAGAATTTCTTTATGAAAAGAATATTAAAGTTCTAATTAGATATGAAAACAAATAACCCATTTTTTAGAAGAAAAAATAAATCAATAAAACTCAAATTCAGGGGTTGGGGAAATAGCTCAGTGGGTAAATCACTTGCCATACAAACATGTTAAAGCTGAATGTGGTAGTTCATGTCTATAATCCCAGCACCTCTATGATGAGACTGGAGGTAGAGATGGGAATCCCAGGAAATTTATGGACCAGCTAGTGATGAAAACCAGAGACAAAGGGGAAGATGAGGACTGACACCTGAGGTTGTCCTCTGTCCTCCACATGCGTGCCCACTCTCACACACATGAACACACATGCATAAACACATATAAATAGACAAACCACTCAAATGTCAAAAGGCTAACAAACACTATAAACTTTGAAAGCTTCCAGAAAGTTGATGTTTTAGATAACCAACCACCCAATACACTGCTGTACCACCTTCCCTTACACTTTTTATGACATTTTTATTTTTTGAGAGTTTCATACACGTGTCGCATTATTTCTACCCCTCCCATTCTCCTTTCAATTCCTTCCCTGCCCCTTTCTCAATTTCTTGCCCTTGTCTTTATTATTGTTACATGTACATAATACATTATATATGCATATATGGAACACTGAGTCCATTTAGTGCTACTCATGTGTACATGAGTTTAGGGTCGGTTTCTTATATTTTTTCTTCATATTTTCTTTGATCACCTCTTTATTTGATAGAAGTTTTAGAACCCTATCTTCTCCAGGGAGAGTAAGAACATAATTCATGCTTCTCTTAATATGATTGAGTGAATGGTTTTAGCTACTCAAATTCTTATTTATAAAACCTTATACAGGTTTTAATTTAATGATAGTTTTAGTGTGATGCTACTGTAGAATTTTTATTTTATTATTTTTATTTTTTGTGTGTGATTATATTGCCTGCATGTGTGTTTAAGTGCACCTGTGTCATGCAATGCTTGCAGAGGTTAGAAGAGGGCATCAGGTCCCCTGGAACTGGAATCAGGACAGTTGTTAGATGCCATGTGGGTGCTGGGAATCTATCTTGGGTCCTTTGCAAGAGCAGCCAGTGCTCCCAACACCTGAGCCATCTCTTTTGCCCCAGAGTTTCTTTAAAAACATATTTTATTTATTTTTATTGTGTGTGTATGAGTGTATTTCCTGCATGTGTGTGTAAGTGCACCTGTGTCATGTAATGCCCATGGAGGTCATTAAGCAGGTGTCTGGATCCCCTGGAACCAGAATGAACAATTATTAGCCACCATGTGGTGCTGGGAACCAAACCTGGGTCCTTTTTAAGAACAGCCAGTGGTCTTAACCACCAAGTCATGTCTCCAGTCCCTAAAATTTCTTTCATATATATGTTTTTACTGTCTTATCATTTGTAGTAATATTATTGTTTTGTGTATTATAAACTTAAGAACTTTGAATGATATAGTTTATGGTTCCGATGAAAAGAGAAAAAAATGCATGTTTCAATTATAAATTTTGGTGCTACATTATCAAATAAATTCCTTCCTGGAGAGGGCTTTGGGTTGACTAGGCATTAATGAGAAAGTAACTATTTACACTTTACGTGGCAGATGACTGGAAACATTCTGCATAGGTTGGCTCCTGTTACACCAACCTCTCTTCTTCTCTAGGATCTATGGGCTTTAGTTCTTGAGAACTGGAGTGCACGCTAATGTGATTATGATCTCTGATCTGACACCTCCATATCCACCTGTTTGGATGACTTGCTGCTTTCTATGCTAAGCATAATCCTGGGGATCATTTCTATACACAAGTGGTCAGCAGTAATTTAAGCATATCTGAAAATGACCTGAAGCTACATAAATATATCTCATAAACATAATTCCATTCAATTTGTCTAGAGCTAGACCTCACAAATGCCTAGAGTTGCTCTAGAGCGATAAAAAATTCAGTGGGAGTCTGAATAGAAAGAGGTAATTACAGCTAAGTTACATTTCTTTTGAAAAATTTAGAACATACAACCAAGTGAGCATGTGTCTGGTCCCTAACCCAGGGCCTTGGAGTAGGACCTCTACATGTCCAAACAGGTCTGCAGCTATAGCTACGGTACTTTTACAGCTATTTGCTTCTTGGTGAAATGGTCCATGTTATTAGATTGCTATTAACAAATGTAACTTTCCGTGACTGGATTATTCCCTTGGGGTTCAGGCTTCCATGAATGCTATCTCTAGGTGGAGAACATGAACTTCTATCTAGA